CCTGGAAGACAGTGGTGTGGCCACCATGGCCCAAGGGAATCGAGTTCCCTTTACTTTACATCACGGCACCATAAAATACCATTTCCAGAGCTTAAAGCCTCATGAAATATTTACCTTTCCTTTTAACTACCAGAGTATCATTATAGCACGCTCGTATCTTATAAATGCTCTCCCAAATATTCCCTTTCTTTCCCCAGTCCTTTAGAATTCTTTATTCTTTAAATTAAAATTTCTCTTCTCATTACCTCTGGAAAGAGTTTATTTGCTGCTGTATTAGTGCAAATCTGAATTTCCCTGTTCTAATTAAATGAGGTGATGAATTAAATTTACAGAAGCTGGTATTAGGGAAGAGGTATTCTCCCCACATGATGACTGAACACATCACCTTTGACTTAACTGAACTATAACCCAATTTTTCAAAATAGCTATTTTCACATACAGATAGGGACCATGCTATTCAAACTTAATTCACACAAAACTTCTCTTGACAGCCAGGGGAAATAAAATCACTGTCTGTAATATTTACTTAGAGGTAAAATGTATTACTTATTTGTAAGTAAAAATTATTTATTTATAAGTAAAATCATTTTCTGGGCTACTTATTCAAGAAATTTATTGCATGTCCAAGATCCCTGACCTCAAGATGCTCTCAGTCTAGTGCCAAAAACAGACCAAATATACCACTAATTACGAAGTGTTACAATAGAGGAGAAGAGAAATGCTGTGACTAGAGGGAGGAGTTGCTCAACTCCTACTGCTCAACAACTATTGGAGTCCAATATCCATGGGGCCTGGGGAGGTGATGTGTGAAGCACGTCTGGAAGAATCTAGAAAACTGCCAGGTAGAGAAGGTGTTGCAGACCTAAGATTTGGTGTTAAACTGCCATGTCCAGTCATCGCATGTGACCTTAATGTGAACAGCTTTCAACTTATAAGTGCAAATGGCTTGCAACTCACAGGGAGGAAAGAGACCTAATCCCATAAGAAGTCCCAAGAGCTCAGTGTCTATTATTACTATAAAAATCTGCCTTCTGAGGGGTCAGGAAAACCTAGAATATGGGTTCTTATAAAGACTCATGTTTATGTAAAACTCCCTCAATAACTGTATTTTAGTTTAACACCTTCCAAGCGACTGACCTGACCAAACACATCCAATAAACCGAGCTTAGTGAAAGAACCTAGAAACTTGAAATGCTTAATTTCTTTAGAACCTTATTTTGCTTAAATTCAAATTAATTCATGTGCATTTTCAAGTTAACCTGAAGAATGGAAGTACCACGTACCACAATCATAAAAATTCTCTCACATGCTGAAAACATCAATCAGCTCATTTACTGCTGGCTAAGGGGTAGCAGGTGGAGATACCACAATGTTTTACTTTGGAATCAGAGAGGCAGAGACTGGTAGCTACTAATGAATTGTTCTGGCCACTGGCAAACACTTCGCCCGGGCCACACAGCCACTCCCTGCTGGGAGGAGCACCTCTACAGGCTGGTCAATTTTTGGGAAAACAGGTTCTGGGGAGGAAAAGGCAGCCCAGGCCAGTATACACTCAGTAAGCAGCCACCCAGGTAGAGGCAGGGCACGCACTTTTAGACTAGAAGAGGCTTAACTTAGAAGGGGGATCTGCCAACCTTTCAACCGTTCATGCAACAGAAAGTGATGCTGAGGCCCAGAGGACTGAGGTGAGCTTTTCTCAAGACCACAGTCAGTAGAACCCAGGGCTCCTGACTTGGTCATGCGTAATTTCCACTGTCTTTGGCCATCTGTCATTGGGATATCAAAAACTGATAAATAAAGTCAAAATGTTCAGTGGGAGGGAACACTCATGGAACAAAATTAAGACTAGGGTTCAGACTCAGCCCCAATAAAGACCTGAAGAATGAGTCATGCGGACATCCTCAGTTACGGAGCAGAGGTGACCCGAACGTGGCTGGCTCACAGCTTCACACGGCTCACCCTGATCTTCCCAATACTGACTGTTATGATGAACAGCCCTCCTCTGAGACAAGGTGCCCATCCAGTTTTAAAGAAAAAAACAGGATAACCAGGAGACCCAGCACCAACCCAGTGAAATTAATCCAAAGGTGAGGTAAACCAATAGGCTGAAGACGCCTTCTGCTCTGGCGAGCACAAGAGGAGTGCCAGCCAACACCTGAGCACTGTGTTTAGTTGCCAGGGACTCTCAAGGTCAAGGGTAGGAAAAAAAATCTGGGCCATGCAAATTTCCTTTGTCATCCGAGTTCAATGGGACTGGGGTTCTGAATGAGTGTTCATGCAGGGCAATCCTGAGTCATCACTTTCTCTAGCCTTTACTTAAAAAAAAAAAAAAGAAAAAGAAAATTTAGGAAAATGATGTTTCCTAAACCACAGACTTCATGGGATAGGAGAGGCAGAGGGGAAGACAGTCAAACATAATGGTATATAAAAAAAACTATTGGAGATGATTTTAAAAGATGAACCACGATGAAATAGAGTTGATTTTGACAGCATAGGTAATACAACAGACCTGCTTTTACTGAAGCAAATGAAAACTAAGTTTTTCTGCATGATCAATCTAAGTACTGGAGCATACAGTTTTAATCGAAAGTTGAAACTATTTAAATTCTTGAATGATTGCTATTGAGCATTGATGGTCCTTTCTTTAAAACTCTTGTAACAGGGTATTCCACATATTTCTGGAAAACTCAAGACTCAGACAAAGATCCATTGTTAGAGAGAATGCCACTTTGACCAAAGTGCACAAATCCCCCTCTCCCACAGTAACTGAACACTGCTTGAAGTAAGTGGGCAACTGGCTAGACTAGGAAAACCTTTCTGTCATGGAAATATTTGGGTTGCATCATTCTTTATAGTATGGTGGTGTCACTGGGACTCTATGGGTCCGATCCTCCAAACATCAGTGAGTGGATGATTGATTGGGAGAAAATGTGTCAACCTTCCAAGTGCAGTTGAAACTCCAGTCTGACAATTAGGCTGCCTGGGCAATGACGATCTCAGTGCACAGTGTGTGTCCCCCTGAACTAACATGCATAATGTCACCTGACCATCTCCCCTGGGCTGATCCTCATCTTTGGAGTGCACTAATTTCATGTAGCACCTGCTCTGTTACACTTACTTCAGAGAAAGACGCTAAACTTAGACCACACCAGGCACTGTCTGCCAAGGGCACACTCCTAAGGGGTGCTGCATCCACTGGCCTTGCCCTGATCTCCCACAGGGCAGCTCCTCTACGCTTGAGTCAGTCAGAAAATGTGTTACTTAGTTTTAAACTACCTAAACAAATGTTGCTTTTAAGCTTTTAACACCACACAGAAAAGGATAAAGCCCTTTGAACAATGTAATCTTTCCTTGACTTATACTGCTCTGGTTGTCATCACCTCCTCAGGAAGCCTTTGAAACCAACACACACCACTGTCGGAGAACAATGTGTGCAGCTGCTAACCCGCAGGCTGCAGAGACAACTTACACAGTTTGGGCTGGGTCCCCACCTGGCCAGAGCAGGGAAACCTTCTGGTAAGTGACTCAGTAGAGAAGCTCGACCACTTCCAGGACTCCTCAGTCCTGGAGTTTGTCCTCAGTTTAGCAGAGGTGAAGAGCCTACACCGCAGGGGCTGTGGGACAAGACACGTTGCTCAAGCTGCTCGTGTGTAAAATGGGCACGATGCCTTCAGAACATAACATAAGAACATGATGAAACAGTATAAAGAAAACAGTTGGCTCTGAGTTCAGCTTCCTTTCCTGCCGAGCCAATATTACTATGCTACATGGGATGTGCCGTTTGCTTTAAGAAGGATGCGTGAGGGCCGACTGTCTGTAAACAAGGAGTCAGCAAATACTGGGGGGGCGGGGGCTGTCTGATCTTCACAGGTGCAGTTTTGAGCTGGAAACAGGTTCTGACGCAGGTGTACCTCATTTCATTGGCCTTTCACTTAATTGGGTTTCACAGGTGTTCTGTTCCTTGCAAAATAAAGCAAGACCCCCCCCCCAGCAAAGATTATGACTCACTTCATTGTGTTACTGGCTTTATTATGGTGGTCTAGAACTGAACTTGCAATGTCTTCTAGGTATGCCCATACTTAGTCATACTTTTTTTTACCTCCTAAAAGGAAAGAAGAGTAAGTACTGTAGGAATTCAAAGATGATATAACATACAACCAACCAGTCCTTTCGAGTGAAGCAGCTGACAACCGACTGCTGATTCCAGTGGCCTGTGTGTCATCCTAACTAGCTAACTTCAGTAGGAAAGAGGGTGAGAGCGGCCTTGATTCACCCCATTAGCAACCAAAGGTGGAAAACCCTTTAGCACAGTGGTTTTCAACCCTGGATGCCCAGTGAAATCACCTGAGGCGCTTTTACATCTCCCGATGCCTAGACCACACCCCAGACCAACTATGTTCTTTCATGGGGTTGGAGGGGGCAGGCACCTGTATTTTTCACAGTCCCCAGTGATGCGAGATGTAACCAAAGTTGGGAATGAGTGCCTGGAGTCACCCCTCCTGACTTGGTACAACTGCTGCAAGCCAAACCAGGAGAGCCGACGCAGGGCCTTTCACAACCACAGCTTCGGAACCGAGCAGGCGCCACCGGGCCCACAGGCTGACCCACCGCAGGTGCCCACGCCAAGGTCCACAGAAGAGGCTGAACAAACAGCTTCCTAACGAAAGGGTTACCCAGATCCTCAACGGAGAACAACTTTTTCAAACAGTTTGTACTTCAAAAACAAACAAGTTGCCCAATTTTAAGAGATGTCACCAAAGCCCAGTTAGATTTTTTTCTTTCTTTTTTTTTTTTAATGAAGGCATCTCTTGGGAAGGACACTCAGAGCATTGGCGGGAGGGCGCTCCACAGCTAGAGCCTAGGGAAAAAGCAGACCTAACCGTACAATCCCCGAGACCGCCGAGAAGACACCCCCCAGGCTCCCCCCAGCGCGTGGTGGGCGGGACGCGGCCACTGCACCTGCTGGGCCGCACCTGCCGCGCCAGGCCCTCCCTTCCTACCTTCCAGCAGCTCGTCCAAGCTGGTGACCTTCTTGCTGCCGTCGATGGTGTAGATGGTGCGGACACCCTGGGGCAGGTTCACGTTGTCGGACAGGGAGCGGGTGAGCTCCATGAGCAGCGCATCGAAGGACCGGAAGCGGTCGCTGGAGATGGCAAACAGCAAGCCCTTGAAGTAGCGGTCCCCATTCCGGTAAAAGCGCGCTTTCTTGGCCTTCTTCTCCGAGCTCAGGGCCTGCAGGGTCCGCGTGCGGTAGAAGCTGCAGTGGGCACTGTGCGCCGGGCTAGGGATGAGCCCGTTGCCCTTGGGGCCCGAGCTGCTGCTGCCCCCGGAGGAGCTGGGCGCCCCTCTCCGCGACCCTGGCCGCGGCCTTTTGTCCCGTTCCTCAAAGTGTTCCAGCTCAATGCTCCTGGTGCTGGCCATCGAGGCTGCTCCGAGGGCTCCCCGCAGGAAACCGTCCCAGCCAAAACCTGCAGGCAGCCCAGTGGCAACGCGAAGACCAGCTCAGAGACGCCTCGCCGTGAGGGGCCTTAGCGCGCCGGGACACCTGGCTCTGGCATCCCGCCCTCTCCTCGCAGGTGGAGCGGCTGAGCCGCGGGCCCGCCCACGTTCCCCTATAAGTGGCCGCAGCTTCCAGCGGCCCGGCTCATTGTCCAGCGCCGCTGGCTTGGTCCGTCCCGCCCTCCGGGGAGCCCCACGCCCCCCTCCCCCAAGCGCCTCCTCCACCGGGCCACGCCTCACAACTCCCGCCCCAGGAGCCGGCTGGGGGCCGCCAAGTTGCAGCACCCAAGGTTCGCCCCTGCTCCGCGGGCGCACACAAAGCTCCGGCGCCCGGCGCGGCTCGCATCCGCCGGCTGCTCTCCGGAGCGCTGCGGGGAAGGAAGGAAGGGGAGGGGAGGGGCTGGGAGCGTGGGAGCGGTGCCGCGAGCCCGTGGGGGCGGTGCGCCCGGCCCGGCCCGCCCACGCGCCGGGGTCCCGGGCCTGGCTGCGGAGGCGCGGACGCGCTGGTCCCCCGGCCGTGCCCGAGGGGCGGCGCGCGCCGGCTGCGCTGGGAGGGCCGCGCGGCGCTCCTTCCTCCGGCAGAGCCGGGCCTTAGCGGGAATAATGCAGTTCGCTGCTCCCGCGGCCGGCCCGCCCCGCCCACCCACGAGCGTCCGCGCCGGGGCCCCGCCAAACCCTCGGCCGGGCCGGTGGTCAGGGATGGCGGGGCTTTCCGCCCCCCAGAGCCGCCAAAACCCAGCAGAGCAGGAGCGGGCGAGGTGGAGGTCCAGCCCCGGACCGGTCGGCAGTGCGGGCGCAGCCAAACGGGAGCGGCTCCCCCTGGGTCCTAGGCAGCCCCGGCTGCGTGACAGATACAAACCCTCGCCGCGCACGCCCACGGGCGCAGCGGCAGCACGCGCTCCTCCGCCTGGGAAACGTAGACGCACAGGAAAAAAAAAAAAACCCACAAAGGAAGGAGATTCAAGGGCAGGGATCACATCCCTTAGCCAGCCTCCGAATGAAGAACCGAAGCCAAACTAGACAAGACATTTGAAACATAACACTGAGTTTGGGCACAAATTTCAATTTTTAAAAGCAGATTTGGAGCTTTATTTAGAAATCTTTTGGTAAAACAGACTATACAGTTCCCACCGCACATTCACTAACATGGCACAATCAGTAATTTTGAATGAATCAATTATCAAGTTATTGGGTTTTGAGGGATTTTACTCAACTTACACATATTTATTAATTAGTATGCTATGTGCCAGGCATTTCTTCTGTCGCTGGGGATGCATTAGTTTAAAAAAAAACAAAAACAAAAAACACCCAATCTTTGCACCCTCCTCCCCCACCTCTTACACTGAAGTGGTACTTAATGTTGCTAGTTTGAGCTACTTACTCCGTACATAATATGTCGAACATTTGTAAGTACCCATCATACTGGAAAGCTTAATTTACCAGTATCTAGTCAACAGTGAAATGTATTTTCCGAAGGCTTGTGAGAATCTTAATTACTTCCATTTCGCCATGCAGGACCAATGAAACTAAAAACATGCTTGGTTCTAATCCGACAGGTGTAAGGGACTCTGAAACCTTAGGTTATTCAGCACGTGGTTCTGAATGGCCATAAACAGCAAATCCAAACGGACGTGTACCCATAGTTCCTCCAGGGCAGTTTCAGGGACAAACCTGGGCACCACTGTCTTCTAGAACCAGAACTGGAACATGCGGGCAAGTCAGAGCTGATCCGAGACTTCAGCGTAGCTTTTCGAGGGGAAAAATTATGAAGGATAATTAGATCCAAGTCTATGATGGACTTCATCGCAAACCAACTAAATGAGAATATGGGGGGGGCGCTTCTCTAACAATATATTTTTTAAGTGCTCATAATGTAGAGTGAGGGCTTCCACTAGGAGTCAAAATCAGTGCTTCTTCTCAAACTTTGATAAATATACTGGGGGAGTCTCATAAAATACAGATTCTGATTCAATAGGTCTGGGGTAGAATTTGAAATTTTATACTTCTAACAAGCTCCCAGATAATGCCAATGATTCTGGTCTTGGTACAACACTTAGACACAAGAATTAAATGGCAAATTGAGATAAGTACTTGCAACCGCAGAAACTATTGGACTTTGTAAATCCCTTAAAAATGGGTGTATTCATTTGTTTTGCTATTAGTATTTCTTTGGGGCAAGGGGAGACTTTGTAATCTATTGCTGAAGTAACAAATGATCCCAGACTCTATTATTTACCATAGTAAACGTGTATTATCTCAGCGGGTTAGGAGGGTCTGGAATCAAGATTGCAGTCAGGATGCTGACTGGGGCTGTGAGCTCCACTCCCAAGCCGGCTCACTCACACCAAGGCTGGGAGGAGACCGCAGTTCCCTCTGGGAGGGCCTCTCTATAGAATCTCTTCAGAGTTGTCACAGTCAGCTGATGTTCTCCAGAGCAAGCATCCCAAAAAGAACTAGGTCAGAAACACATCTTTTATGATGTGCCCTTGAAAGTCATGCACTGTCATTTCCCAAATATCCTCAAAGGTACCGGTAAGCCCCATTCATTATGGGAGGGGACTGTACGAGGGTGTGACCACCAGGTCCTGGAAGAAATCACTGGGGCTTGTGCCGGCTGGTAGCACAGGTTTCAACCATTAAGTCTTTAGGCTCCAATCATTCAATTGAGGACATTGACATAAACACATTTTCTCACTCAAAGATCCTCAATGAAGGATTTTGCCCTTTTAAAATAGTGAATGCAATGATATAATACACCAGTATTTTAGCATTATTCCCTAACATTATATCCCTAAGTTATTAATAAAGATTACTGTTTTTTCAACAGGGGTAAGGGAAGAAGAGAAAGTAGTTTCATGGCTACTTAGTTAAAAAAATATTTTGCTCCTGATCTTTGCATTAGTCTGTTGGAAGAATTTTAGCCCTGACCCTCATATAAGAATTAAGATACAATCACTTTTCATAAGTTATTTCCTTGAGTGAATATGGCACATATCAAGACCCAGTTGGCAAAAATTTGAACATTTTTTTGAGGTGGAAAAAGAGTTTTAGCATCATAATTCTAATAAAAATTGGGGGGCTCTAGGTAGGCAGCTATTAATTAATGTGGGTTACTTCATGATTTAAAATTCTCCCCTTTCAAGAGGTGGAAGAATTTGCAGGGTAAAGTATTTTAATTGGCATTTCCTTCGTGAAATACCCCTTTTTTTTCCTGAGCAAAACAACAACAAAAACGGAGTCTGATTTGCTGATCTTTGTTCTTCCAGAGATGGCCTAATTCTCCTTGGTTGGTGCAAAGTCTACCAACTTTGTCTGCTGGGTTCTGGTATAGAATAAAAAGGGCTTCATTAGGAGTCTCTGGCCCTGGCTCTTCACTCTGCAAAAGCTCCTTGACCTTGGCTCTTTGTTAGTTGTGAATTCTCTATACCTTTTCTAATCTCTGTTAATCAAACACTTGTCTGAATAAACACTGTTGTGCAGAGTACTTTAAAAAATGGCTTCCTTTCTATGCTACAGAGAATCCAAGAATTTCAATGGAAAGCCTCCTCCCCATTTTGTTACATGATTAGAAATGACCTCTCTCTGCTCTTGATAAGTAATAACTTTAAATTTCACACCTAGTGATGTGAAAATTTTGTTGGTGATATCCAAGAGAGGGGTTCTAAAAACTAGGTGGGCAGAAAAACTCAACCAGACATGCAAGAGAGGTCAGTGTGTTTGTTCTCTACACCACTCTCTGGGTCACACAGATTAGCAATAGTTTTTAGCCATGTGGTAACTCCCTCTCCGCTGGCTCACCGCTCCGCCTCCTCATTGATTAAGAAATACAATGCAAATTTTTATTTAGTGTCATTTGTTTAAATGAGACCCCATTACCTATGCACTTCCTGGTGGAGCTTTACATAAGGAACTTGCTTAGAACATCTCCTGGTTGGGCTTCATGCTACTTTATTTCTCAAATGCGTTTGGCTAGTCTTTCATTTTGGCCAGAAACTTCTGCTTTTAAAGGCCGTTTTCCAGCTACTCCATTATTTATTACATAAAGGATGCTGACGAACCTTTCAGACTGCACTGTGCTGAGGTTTTCTGCTGTCTCATGTTTTTGTCATTCCTGTTCACCACGAGCCAAGCATTTCTCCCAGAAGCCAAAGTGATGAAACGACTGTTTTTCAGTGAAGGGGCCTGGTGACTATGAACTTGAATTTTTTGAACTGAACGTTACTTCTTATTTCATAAGCTTTAATCATTGCAAATTCTAGTGTTTGCTGCCAAGTGTAAACGGCGAAGGCGGTAAAGCCACGCTGTTCAGAAAGAGACTCTCCACTCTGTCCCGTAACCTGTACCCAGACTGGAAAAGGGATCCGACAGTCGGCCGCTCACCTGTCGTTTCACCTCCGGAGCCTTGCTGCCCTTTCGGCTCTGATTCTTACAGCACTTTACAAATGCAGTGATGAGTTTTTTGCAAATGCATATGAAGGGGTGGTTAAAACCACCTCTTCAAGTTCAGAAAATTCAAATATAAATCATTGGTAATCTTTCAAAATTTAAGCTTATTTTATATAAAAATATCAGAGGAAATCGAAGAAAACTTCAACTATGCACACTTCATTGTGTGCAGGACACAAACACTTAATTTTCCATAGGAGAACTGGGGTTGGATACTTAGTTCCTCCTGTTGGCGCACTTCACTTCTACGAAGCATCTAGGATGAAGATTCCTACTCTTCATGTAAATTCCACGTATTCAAAATTACACTCAGTCATTTTGTCATTTGCCAGTTCACTTCTATGCACATTCAGTAGCAATAATTGCTAAAATGAAAATAACAAACACATTAAAACCACATAGCAACTATTTTTCTTAAAAACTTGAATTTTTTCCTGAAATCTCCCTAAGAAGATGATCCAGGCAGGTAGTATTACTCCCACTTTCCAGGTGAGGGAACAGGGGCACAGCTGAGAGAAGTCCCACAATTGTTCCAACAGTATCAATAGCGAAAGACCATGGAGAAAATCACATTTCCCAAACCCGATATAAAATTCATTTTTTGAACCTAGGCCTTTACTTCATTTAAAATATAAAAAGAATTACTTTAAAATCAACCGTGCTTTTAGTAGTGTTTTTTTTTCCTGCTCAGTAGCACATTCCTTGTTTA